GCAGCAGCCGGTAAGCGGGAACCCAAATCCGGTCGGTACCGGCTTTTACGTAGTAATCCCCTTTCTGGTTCGTGGCCTGCTGATGATTCCCGGTCGTGAAGAATGGGTCCGTAGTGTAGCCGTGGGTGAATAGTCCTGTAAGTAGCGGGTTCGAATGGGTGATGAGTACTGCAGCGGATTGTACTGTCGGTCGGGTCAGGGCGTCGGCGATGTTATTCGCCCCTTTCTTGTACGTGATGCGGTAGGTGAAGTGGCTCTCCATGTAATCCAGCCACCTAATCTGTCGTGGGTTGAGGTTGGGTTGGGCTCGCAGGTACTGCAGGGACTTATGGTCCGTACGAACAGTGACGTCAGCGCCTACCAGGTAGCATCGCCATAATTTAAACGCGTGTATGATGGCGAGCATCTCCTTGTCGTGAATCGGATAGTTGCATTCGGCTGCCTGCAGCTTGCGTGATTCGTAGGCTATCGGCTGCAATCCGTTCCCGAAGTCTTGGAGAAGCACAGCTCCGATGGCGAAAACTGAGGCGTCGGCTACAACTTCGAACGGCTTCGATGGGTCGGTGATGCGCAGAACAGGAGGGGAAACAAGAAAATTCTTGAGTTCCTGGAAAGCTGCTTCTGCCTCCTCCCCCCACACAAAACTTTTGTCCTTGTGCAGCAGGTCGGTCAGCGGGCCGGTTATCCCCGCCATATTCGGGGTAAAACGCCGGACGTAATTCACGAATCCGAGGAAACTCTGGAGTTCGGTGACGTTCGTCGGGGACTTCCACTCCTGTATGGTTTTGATTTTCGCCGGGTCGATTTTAATGTCGTCGCGCGAGATTACGTGCCCCAAAAACTCCAACTCCTGCTTAAAAAACTCGCACTTAGAGCCCTTGGTGATGAGTCGATTTTCCTGCAGCCTTTTAAACACTGCATCCAGGTCGCGAAGGTGCTGCTCCCGTGTCTTGCTAAAAATGAGGATATCGTCCAAGTAGACGATGACACACTGGTCTAGAAGATCCCGAAAAACCATGTTCATGGTCAGTTGAAAAGTCGAAGGCGCGTTCGTGAGGCCGAAAGGCATCACTATGAATTCGTAACTCCCGTAGCGTGTGCGAAACGCAGTCTTGTGACACTCGTCGGCGAAGACTCGGATCTGGTGGTAACCGCCACGTAAGGCAATCTTCGAGAAATAGCGAGCGCCACGAAGTTGGTCGAGGAGGTCGTCGGTGCGTGGGATTGGGTAGCGAGACTTGATGGTGACCCGGTTCAGCGCACGATAGTCGATACACATGCGAAGCCCGCCGTCCTTCTTCTGAGTGAACATAATCGGTGCTGCGAAGGGAGATGTGCTGGCCCGAATAAATCCCTTCTCCAACATTGCATCAATTTGACTTCGCAGCTCCTCGAGTTCCGGCTGGGTCAACCGCCACTGTGTCCGAACAGTCGGCTGCGCTCCAGGTTCCAGCTGGATTTTGTGGTCCTCAGGTCTCTCGGGTGGCAGTCCAGGTGGCAGGTCGTCGGGGAAAATGTCCGGGTACCTCCGAATCAGCTCCGCTAAATCCGGTGGTACAGCTGCACACAGCTTCTCGATGTCCTTTCCCTCGGTGTCGAGTGCCAACTCGCGTAAGCAAACAGCGAACAACTGCGCGCCTCTGTTGAAGTGGCGAGCTATAGTGATAGCTTTGACGCACGGTGCTTGGATGTAGTCAGGGGTCCATGCAGGTAATTTTATTAACCCCTCGTGCTTGCTAATGCTGCACGATCCCGTCGTCCAGTCGATAACGGGGTTGTGTCGTCGCAGCCAATCACGTCCCAGCAGTACGTCGCAGCCGTCCAATGTTGTCGCGAGAAACTTCATGCTGAAGTCGAAATCGTCGCCGCAGTCGATCCTGACCGTTCGTGTTTCTTCCGTTATCGCCAGAGGCGTCCCATCCACGAGGCGGGCGTCAATTTCGGGCAGACGCCTGTCAAGTTGCAGCTTGCATTTTTTTGCGCTCGCCAAGTTGAAGAGGCTATGGCTGGCCCCCCCATCGACGAACATTTTCAGATTGTTTTTTAACACCTTGCCAGCGACCAGCACAGGGTGATCCAAATGATTATCCCCGTTATTCGGCCGAGTGCGATCGATTGCATGAATCGGAACCATGACTCGGTGGGGATGATGGTGTTCGGGCGACGTAGCACAGTCAGTAAAGGGCCCGCTAATTACTGACTCTTCCCATTTCCCTGCTCCTTCCTGTCGTCCCCTGTCAGCGGCATTTTCTCCTGGTAGTCGTTCCTGTAGTGACCCACCTTCCCACACCAAAAACACGGACCCTTAGGAGGGAGGTCGGGTGTATGGACGGCGTTGATCGTGGTACGATGGGTCTGGCCACGAAAGCTTCTCCCAACCCTGGAAGCTGCTCTCGCGTACTGCATCAGCGCATCAGTTGACTCCGCCACACGTACTGCTTCGAGGAACGATGTTGGGCGGCTTCGACGGACCTCAAACTGTATTTCATATTTAAGGCCGCTGGCGTATTTATCCAACCGCTCTGCTTCCGACATGTCATCGATCTGATCAGCGAAGCCCATAAATGACGCCGTGTAGTCTTGGACAGAAGCCATCTGCGACCATGCACGCAGCTTCATGCGAGCTTGCTCCGAGGCGGATACGTGCTCGAAGCGATCTCGTAAGGCTACGCCCCACTCCTTCCACGTGCGTATCTTAGTCACACCGAAGATCGGTTCTGCCACTCAATTAACCACTGTAGAGGTCCCGTCTGCCGCATGTGTCACACCTGTCGGAGTCCCTGTTTCTAAGGTCCGGCGCCACCACTCAAGCGCTGCGCCCCGAAGAAGTGAAACCGCGTAATTAATACGCGTGGCATCGTCGTTAACACCTGCTGCCGTGAAGAAGACCTCGACACCGAACAGCCACCCCTTCACTGTAGTCGTCTTGTCCGTAGGATTAAACGGGGGCGGGTTGACAGGCTTGATCTTGATCGTCGTAACTGCAACTGGCGCTGCTGCCGCTCGCTGCCTATCTTCTTCTTCGAAGTCACGTGTGAGAGCATCTAGTGGGTTGCTCATCGCCTGACTGTTGCCCTCGCCTTCGTCCACAGGCGACTCCTGACGCGCTTCACCTCGCGTCTGGCGTAGCTCGGCGTTTTCCTCTCGTAGTGTTGTCACTTCCGCCATTAATGTCTTCATGCTCTCCTGCATCTCTGCCACTTGCGCCATCATCCGGTTAACAGCCTCCTGATCCATGTGCCTAGCACTACGTCTGGTGGGCAGTCGGGTCTCCGTGGCCTTCAGGCAAGTGAAAACACGAACTATCGGAGTCGGGCAGGATTGAATTAACAATCCCTGCAGCCAACCGTCGTTTAGTCACTAAACCAGCCACACCCTATGCCACCAAACCACCCTCGGAAAAGCGGGGTGAACTAGGAAAGTAGCTCTGATACCAGGTGTTATGAGTTGTAAAAGAGAGTGCGCAGGTAAACAAATACCGTCACCCCCCGGATATACCCCCATGGGGGGCAATAATAAAACAGGTTTTTTCAAGGGGGTGGGCTTATAATCGAGTAAATTTATAAGCGCCGGCGTTTATAAAATGACATTCATATTTTTTATATTTTTTAACACCAAACTGTAGGTCTCGTGCTTGCCCTTTCAATCGAGTCGAATTTACATGGGGTCGTCTGTGAAATTCTCGCGCGCGCTGGGAGACACACCCAATCTGACTCACATCCAGCTCCTGACAGCTCCTGCTGACTGGACCCGCATCCAGTGCAGGGTCCGAATGTGAAGGGAACCGAATCTGCAACATATCTGCCTGCTAAAGTAAAAATCATTACAACGTTTTGTACACATTTCAAATTTTAAAGTTTACGTGCGCTTATACGGTAATAAAACTAGTTTTTTCAGGGGGTGCGCTTATAATCGAGGAGGGGATATAAGCGCCATATGCCAATTAGAAGCGCCAGGCGCTTATCCTAGGGTGGCGCTTATATCCGGGGGGTGACGGTAACGAGGCTGTGACTGAATGAACTGAGAATACAATGAATGCACAGACTAATGTAGGGCTAGCCTATCTAGGAGGAAACCTCGGGAGATGAGGTTGGGTGCAGGTTTGGCAATGGAAATGCCGAAGGCGACGCGAGGAGCCTCGTCAGCGTTGAAATCGGCCGAACGTGCGAACTCCGAAAATCGGGCTGTACGCGAAGCAGTCAACCCCGATAAGGAATTCGGGAAAATTCCTTACACACCAAACCAGTGTCTTTTTTGTTTTTCTGCATTTCTTACGGCACTATAGGAGGTAAACAGAGAATGAACTATGTTCACAACAGCCTTGCAATCACAACTTACGGTACTGTACCCAGTACAGACGGTCACTGAGGTAAAGTGGTACATGCCATGCCAGCCCTGATCAATCTGTAATTCTTCAGCCTGCCCCTGAGTGCCATCATTGCCATTGGCATCATTCATTGCATATCGTCTCCCAGGGCCCATGCAGGGCCATAGATGGCCACGTTGGTCCGCCCATACTTGCGATCCTTGATCTGCGCAGCATGGAACGGGGTGGGGAGAAGCGCCATGTTCAGCACAGGACAGCGGGGAGGAGTGGAGTGTTCATCCCTAAGTTGCTGCCACATATCGACCCTATGACACCTAACTGGTGTTCACTCGGATTCGCCCATACTTTCGATCATTGATCTGAACAGCTTTAAGTGATCTGAACAGCATGAAGTGATCTGAACAGCATGAAGTGATCTGAACAGCATGAAGTGATCTGAACAGCATGAAGTGATCTGAACAGCATGAAGTGATCTGAACAGCATGAAGTGATCTGAACAGCATGAAGTGATCTGAACAGCATGAAGTGATCTGAACAGCATGAAGTAGGGAGAAGCGCCATGTTCAGCACAGCAGGGAGGAGTGGAGTGTCTCGCATGGCAGCCAACACAGGCATAGATGATGGGAAGGATTAAGAAAAAAGATGCGCTACGCAACAGAAACTAAAAAATCACCTTATATAGAGGACCGCATGTGTCCAAGATCTCATCCTTAGATTTGTTTGGATACTCCACGACCTGGCAGGATGCATGCGATACGATGGGCAGTGTGAGGAAGACATGGAGTGTGAGGAAGACATGGAGTGTGAGGAACACATGGAGTGTGAGGAAGACATGGAGTGTGAGGAAGACATGGAGTGTGAGGAAGACATGGAGTTAGCTGAATTTTGGGTCGACTTGGAGTTAACATGCATGATTCCATAAAATACACCAGCCACACCATGCATGTTTCCATAAAATACACCAGCCACACCATGCATGTTTCCATAAAATACACCAGCCACACCATGCATGTTTCCATAAAATACACCAGCCACACCATGCATGTTTCCATAAAATACACCAGCCACACCATGCATGTTTCCATAAAATACACCAGCCACACCATGCATGTTTCCATAAAATACACCAGCCACACCATGCATGATTCCATAAAATACACCAGCCACACCATGCATGTTTCCATAAAATACACCAGCCACACCATGCATGTTTCTGGGTGCAGCAGCGGCGAGGCAGCGAGCTGGGCCATGAGTTGACTGTACACGACGAGCTCATAGGGAGGAGTCACACTGATGAAGCTGAAAGGCCCTCCCACCCACTCAGCTGGGGGAGGGAGAGAGAGGGGAGCAGGGGGGGAGAGAGAGGGGAGCAGGGGGGGAGAGAGAGGGGAGCAGGGGGGGAGAGAGAGGGGAGCAGGGGGGGAGTGGTGAAGGACAGGACGGGAAGGCAGCAAGCTGGGCCATGAGTTGGCTGTGCACGGCGCGCTCATAGGGAGGGGTCACACTGATGAAGCTGAAGGGACCCCCTACCTACCCACTCGGCTGCGAGGGTGACAAGAAGAGTGCAAAGCAGGAGGGCAGAGGGCGGAGGGCACATGCAGGGTTGAAGCAGGAGCGCTGTTGCGATGAGATGAGATGAGATGAGATGAGATGAGATGAGATGAGATGAGATGAGATGAGATGAGATGAGATGAGATGAGATGAGATGAGATGAGATGAGATGAAGCTCATAGGGGGGGAAGAGGGTGGAGGTCACAATGATGAAGGTGAAGGGCCTTTCCCTCCCACTCGCCTGGCCTTTCCCTCCCACTCGCCTGGCCTTTCCCTCCCACTCGCCTGGCCTTTCCCTCCCACTCGCCTGGCCTTTCCCTCCCACTCGCCTGGCCTTTCCCTCCCACTCGCCTGGCCTTTCCCTCCCACTCGCCTGGCCTTTCCCTCCCACTCGCCTGGCCTTTCCCTCCCACTCGCCTGGCCTTTCCCTCCCACTCGCCTGGCCTTTCCCTCCCACTCGCCTGGGACACCATCCGTTCCTGGGGGTGGCTGGGACACCATCCGTTCCTGGGGGTGGCTGGGACACCATCCGTTCCTGGGGATGGCTGGGACACCATCCGTTCTAATGACGTGCAAAAGTGCCGTCGGCAACACGTGCTGATCGCAGTTCTCATCGTCGCTGATACTGACTGACCCACCAACTGTACATCTGCACTCGCGCACCAATGAAAATCGCGCGTGAAAAAACGTCTGCGACCTGTTCGGCTTTGAACAAGCCGGGGGGCGCACCCTTGAAGCTATTCCTTACTGAATCGACAACCCTCGCACGCTTGGGGTATGCCGTGCCAAATTTCAGGGCTTTTAGTTTTCCTATGCCCCAAATGGTTTTGCCACACGCCCTGGTGTTTACGAAACTCACAACTGCGTCATTACAGTTGCACAGTGCTTCGGAAAACACTTCTAAACACCAGCCATGTGGAAATGCAGCACGGCTGTACATTGGGAGTCCAGTTCCGTGTCGGTGGGCTGCCTCGTTGAAAGCACGTGGCCCCAAAGCTCTAATGTCCAGATGTCCAGACGAGTGCATGCATGCACGGGCCACGGCAGTGAAGCTGCAGCTTCACTGCAGGGGCCTCCCACCCACTCAGCTGCGAGGGCAGAACGAACAAGTGCAGGGTTGACCAAGTGCAGGGTTGACCAAGTGCAGGGTTGACCAAGTGCAGGGTTGACCAAGTGCAGGGTTGACCAAGTGCAGGGCTGACCAAGTGCAGGGAAAATGAAGGAGGCGGCGCGCGGGAGGCCATACAGGGTTGAACGAGTGCAGGACGAGCAGGAGTGAGAGGGGTAGGGAGGGAGGGAGAACGCAATGGAGTAAGAGAAGAAGAACTGAGTGAAACTGCATGTCTGTACCCCTGCTGAATCAATACAACGGACCGTTTGAGACGAAGAGAGAGGAGGCAGAGGGCTGATGAGGGTTCAGATGAGGAAAAGTGGCCCCGTACCTCCTTGTACCTCCCCGTACCTCCTCGTACCTCCTCTTTGCTCCGCTTGCTGGAGAAATGACTCGACTTTGAGCGGGTGGATGGTGGTGTGGGAGGAGGCGGAGCAGGCTTCAATGTTAGGGGCGAGCACCGAGGATACGACCCACGGGTCCATCTCGACAAAGTGTGCCTGCTAAGGGGAGGGGGGATGGAGGAAGAACGGAGGATGGAAGGGACGGAAGGGAAAGGGGGGACGGGAGAAGGGGAGAGCAACAGAAGGGTAGAGTGCAAAGTTCAGAGGATGGGATGGGAGGGAGGAGGAATATGATGCACTTGCGGCGCCAAGTCCATTTGTATGGATTGCGCATGGGGCAGGGAGGGAGGGAGGGAGGGAGGGAGGGGCAGGGAGGGACAGACGGACGGACGGACGCAAGGTTCAAAAATACGGTAAACGTAAATTACGGCTTGTAAATTACGGTCGTAATTTACGGTGGTTTTGACAAAAATACGGTCGTTTTTTAAATGGACATTTTTTGCGTTTTTTTTTCCAGAAATTCCTAGAAAGCTTACAACGATGATAAGGAAGGCGACAACATACTACACTACAGAATGGTGGTTTTTGCCCTGGTTTAACTTGGTGGTGTTGCGTTGGCGAATGGAATATGCAAAAGGGATGAGATGGAAGGGATGAAGATTGGACGAACGCTATTGGACTGTCGAAATTGAGTTGAGTAGCGCATGCGGGCGAGAAAAACGAACGGGCCGCGAAACGACCCGCCGACTTGGCGAAACGGGTAGACTTGTGTTATCCGTTTGCCAAATGTACAATTTGCCGCGTCGCACAAATTTGTACATTTGCGATTCGGCGAAATACACAAACGAGTGTGCGAATGGGCAACAAACCTGTTAAACTGTCAGCAAAATGCACAATGTCGCGCCTCAAGATTTTGCTGACACTCGCGACTCGGGAAAAAAACACTCTCGAGTGGGTTTGGGGCCACAAAAATTCTCACGAACAGGTTGACAGTTGGGAAATGTTGAAATTCGCTATACACAAACTCGGTTTCAAACTTTCGGTCGTAATTTACGACCGTATTTTTTAACCAACCTAATTTTGCAACGTCAAACCGTTTTTTACCGTAATTTACGACCGTAAATTACGGTCAAAACTACAGTCGTATTTTTGAACCTTGGACGGACGGACGGACCGACGGACGGACCAACGGACCGACGGACGGACGGACGGACGGACCGACGGACGGACCGACGGACGGACGGACGGACGGACGGACGGACGGACGGACGGACGGACGGACGGACGGACGGACGGACCGACGGACGGACGGACGGACGGACGGACGGACGGACGGACGGACGGACGGACGGACGGACGGACGGACGGACGGACGGACGGACGGACGGACGGACGGACGGACGGACGGACGGACGGACGGACGGACGGACGGACGGACGGACGGACGGACGGACCGACGGACCGACGGACGGACAGACGGACGGACGGACGGACGGACCGACGGACGGACGGACGGAGGGACGGACGGACGGACGGACGGACGGACCGACGGACGGACGGACGGACGGACGGACGGACCGACGGACGGACCGACGGACGGACCGATTGACGAACGGACGGACGGACGGACGGACGGACCGACGCACCGACGGACCGACGGACGGACGGACGGACGGACGGACCGACGGACGGACGGATGGACGGACGGACGGACGGACGGACGGACGGACGGACGGACCGACGGACGGACGGACCGACGGACGGACGGACCGACGGACGGACGGACCGACGGACGGACGGACCGACGGACGGACGGACGGACGGACCGACGGACCGACGGACCGACGGACGGACGGACGGACGGACGGACGGACGGACGGACGGACGGACGGACGGACGGACGGACGGGATGGACAAATGGATCACGGGAAGGACAGAATCACCTGGCCACACCGTCACCCCTTCACCTTCACCTGCCCGCCTCCAACCGCAGCCTGTCCACATCAGTACAGGGGCATCATGCAGCCTGTCCACATCAGTACAGGGGCATCATGCAGCCTGTCCACATCAGGACAGCCCTGCTCAGGTCCAGCCCTGCTCAGGACAGCCCTGCTCAGGTCCAGCCCTGCTCAGGTCCAGCCCTGCTCAGGTCCAGCCCTGCTCAGGACAGCCCTGCTCAGGTCCAGCCCGGGCAAACCGGCTGCCCGCGTCGCAGGTATCGCCCATACCCCCACCCCACGCCCACCCATGCCCTCACCTGTGTGCACCCTCGGCTCATGGCCTCATGGCCATGAGTGAACTTCTCAGCGCCAGCACCCAGTGCTGCCCACGCCATGCCCCCATACGCCATGCCCCCATACGCCATGCCCCCATACGCCATGCCCCCATACGCCATGCCCCCATACGCCATGCCCCCATACGCCATACCCCCATACGCCATGCCCCCATACGCCATGCCCCCATGGGCCATGCCCCCATGGGCCATGCCCCCATACGCCATGCCCCCATACGCCATGGCCCCATACGCCATGCCCCCATACGCCATGCCCCCATACGCCATGCCCCCATGGGCCATGCCCCCATACGCCATGCCCCCATACGCCATGCCCCCATACGCCATGGCCCCATACGCCATGCCCCCATACGCCATGCCCCCATACGCCATGCCCCCATGGGCCATGCCCCCATACGCCATGCCCCCATACGCCATGCCCCCATACGCCATGCCCCCATACGCCATGCCCCCATACGCCATGCCCCCATACGCCATGCCCCCATACGCCATGCCCCCATACGCCATGCCCCCATACGCCATGCCCCCATACGCCATGCCCCCATACGCCATGCCCCCATACGCCATGCCCCCATACGCCATGCCCCCATACGCCATGCCCCCATGGGCCATGCCCCCATGGGCCATGCCCCCATACGCCATGCCCCCATACGCCATGCCCCCATACGCCATGCCCCCATGGGCCATGCCCCCATGGGCCATGCCCCCATACGCCATGCCCCCATACGCCATGCCCCCATACGCCATGCCCCCATACGCCATGCCCCCATGATCCCAGGGTGGAAAATTGCGGCGAAATTTTCAGATTATGGGCGAAATATTCGCCATCGAAAGATTCGCGCGTAATTTTCGATAATTTCGGCAGATTTCGTGAAGTTGATTTGGGTGGAAAATTGCGACCGAAATTTGCGGGCGAATTTTTGAAAGCGGGAACCCTAAACTAGGCGTTTCCACGAAGTACTAGGTCTGCAGCGCTGTCGAAATGGATTGTGACAGAACAATGTTTGCGCGAAGTGAAATTGTAGTGTGTGACTGACAGGGTGTGGTCCAGATTCACTGCTCACATATACCCAGTGAAGTGCTCAGTGACAAATCAGATTCAGACTTCCGCGAGGCGCATCCAATTAAGGCCTCACGATGTCTGTTACATCACAATCTAGTATTTCGCCCTCCCAAACTGATCACTGACGTAGTGGGAAACGGAGTCGCGAAACCAAATTTTGTTTTGGGGTGGCGTGGCGAAACGACTCGTTACCGTTTTTTGGAGGGATTTTCGCGCTCATCCAAATTTTTACGTGACGCAGCAGATCCAGAAAGTCTGAGCGCGAAACCCAGACACACAGGCATAGAGCATCATCGACTCGCTCATCTAGTATGATGAAAGCGTTCAAATTCACTCGTCGCAAATCGTCAGGCTTGACGACCCGTTTCCGCTGAGATATTCCGATTGACTAGCATAGCATAGCACTACTAATATTCTGCCAAAGACGCCTCTCATCATGCCTAGACCTCTCTCTCCCTTGTGGGATCACGTTATTAAGATCTGTGACTCGGATGGAAACATTGTCCGCATGGAGTGCGTCCACTGTCACATGGTGGTTGTAGCTAACGCTACTAGGATTTCGGAGCATCTTTACGGCGCTCCAAAAGGGTCAAAAAACGTCACTACTTGCAAGTCGGAGTTTGCACGGAACCTTCGTGCTAAGAAGGAAAGAGAGTCCACGCCCAACAACAACAACACCGGCTCAACCGGAGGCTCCGGATCTGGCGAGGGATCAATGTCTACCGTTGATGGCGGTAGAGTGCGGACCCGTCAGCTTGACATACGAGATGTAACCGACGCGAGAGGGAGGGAGCACTTGGATCTCCTTTGGATGACGGCCGTGGCTGACAACGATTGGGCCTTTCGTGTTTCAGAGTGAGTGCTACATGACCTGACCTGAGTCCTGTGTTGAATCACGCACACGTTGTTGCTTGACGCCCTTTTGATGTGGTGCCAACGTAAATCCAGCAAGATCTCCTTCTCCTCGTACCCCTCCCTGTGAACTTTTCAGTTCGAAGTCAGTCCAGAAATTTGCGGACGCCCTTGTGGAGTTTGGGAAGCCGTACACGATGCCATCCGCGTACATGGTTCGGGGCCCGCTGTTAGACAAGCTCAAGGCAGAGACTGAGACTCTTGTGCAGCCCTTGAAAGATTCGTGGGCCTCCACTGGATGCACGCTATCCGTTGACGGGTGGTCGTGCATGAAGAGCCGCGGGCTCATATGCATTATTGGGCAGAACGACACTGCACCCGTCTTGGTGGAAGTGGTCGACTCTAAGACGACAAAGAAGACTGGTACTTACTTGTCTGAGCTGATTCGGACGGCCATATGCAAGGTGGGCGACAAGAAGGTCGTCCAGGTGGTAATGGATAATGCCAGCAACAACAAGAGCGCTGCTGCCAAGCTGGAACCAGAGTATCCTTCCATTTTTTTTACCAATTGTGCCGCCCACTGCCTTGACTTGATGCTTCATGACATCGGCAGTATTGACCTTGTGAAACGGGTGCTCGACCAGGTGCACAGTGCTGTTATGCTGGTGAAGTCCAGCGCAAGTGCTGTCACTCTCTTTCGGGAGCTCTTTAGTAAGTTGGAGCTCGTGCGCCCGGGGGCTACGAGGTTCGGGACTCAAGTGATCATGCTCACCAGATTCTTGGGGGTGAAGAAGGAACTGCGGGAGATGATGATAAGCGAGCAGTGGAAGGATGTGGCGGCTTCTAAGACCCCCGATGGCAAGCGAATTCGGGAGCTACTGCTGCAGGACATTTTTTGGGAGACGGTGGCTAAAGTTCTGGCCATCATGCAGCCCGTGTACGATGTGCTCCGCGCCGTTGACAAGCGCTCGGTCATCATGGGAAGTATCTATGGAAAGATGCTTGAGGCCACGGAGAAGGTCAACGCAGCAGCTGAAACGGCAGGTATGGAATCCATTCGTAGTGTGCTCTCCATATGTTGTCCCGTTCCCACTTGCACCCCTTCCAATTTCCAACCGCTTTCCCTTCCTCCCTTCCCAACCAAGGGATTGGGGGGCTGCATGGTGGTAGTTGCAGCCCCTACTTTCCCTCCTCACGCGGCACACTTCCTCTTGCCCATGCAGCCCATCCCGACCACCCAGAGAATTAGTTGCTGATTGGATTCTACTTGCTGTCCATCCCTGTCTTTTACAGCTGCCTTCTTTGTTCGGCGCACCCCACTGCTGGATGCAAAGGACAAGGGGTCTTTCTTGAGCAAGATCAAGGACATCATTGCGTCCCGATGGGACCGCATGTTGCACAACCCTCTTCACGCTGTTGGATGGCTGCTGAATCCGAAGAACCAGTGTGAAGAGGACGTGCGCAACGACCCGGAGATCATAAGGGGTCTCAACAAAGTGATGGAGGCATTGTGTGGCGACGTGCAGAAGCGCATCCTCCTCCAAGTGCAGCTTGCTATGTACCACAGGGGGGCGGGCCAACTGGGTGGGGAGGATGCACGATGGGCAGCAGGCGTACTTGTTGAGAGCGGACGTCTCTCTCTCGCCGAGTGGTGGAGCATGTACGGAGGGGAGGTTCCTGTTCTTCAGAACATGGCGGTCAAGGTGCTGTCCCAGCCCGTGACCGCATCAGAGGTGGAAAGGTGTTGGTCTGCAATGAACAGGGTGCAGCGGCGCGACCGTAACCGGCTCAATGCGCAGACCATGATCGACGTGACGTGGGTGGCCTTCTCCAGGCGCTCACGGGCCGCGTTTGACAAAGACACTGAGGTCCGCACGCAGCTCTTTGCTGACCTGGCAGCAGGAAAGCTTAAGGAGAACCCTGTGGAGAAGACACAACCTCAGGGTGGTCCAAGCGAGACTCAGGGCGAGGAGGAGGACGAAGGTGTGGCTGATTGTGCCATCGATTGGGAGGCTTTCGGCTCCTCTGGAAGGAAGAAGAAGAAGGCCTCCAAAAGCAGCCAAAACAAGCGATCAAAGAAAAACCAGGCCTCTAGCAAGGGGACAGAGAAGGTGGGGGCTGAGGAGGAGGTGGAAGAAGAGGAGGCTGAACGTGGAAGCGATGACAGCGCAGCTCAGGAACCCAAGGAGAGAGCCTATGGCTCCAATGCTTGGGATATCAGTGATGGGGACAGTGGATCAGATTCTAATGAGGCGTCGGATGATGAGTACTAGAGAGAGTACTCGGTGTGTGCTTCTTGGGCTTCTGAACTGAAGGGCAGCATCAGGACAACACTTACAACGAACAGGCACTTGTTTTGTGTGTGTGCATATGCGTGTGCGCATATGTGCGCATTGTTGTTGTAGGTGGTGGCTTGTTTTTTTTTTTTTTTTTTTTAATATAATATTTCCCTGGCATTTAAAAATTCGCCGAATTATTACAAAACCGGCCGAAAATTTCCACCGAAAGTTTCTGCCCGAATATTTCGCTAAGCGAAATTTTCCACCTTGCATGATCCCATGCACCCCTATGGGCCATGCTCCCAGTCCCCTCACCTGCGCGCACCGTCTACTCATTCATGGCCTCCAATCCAACGCTCCCACTGCCGCTGTACAGGACAGGTCCAACCAGCGCAAGGCGGCTGCCTGCCTGCCTGCCTGCCTGCCTGCCTGCCTGCCTGCCTGCCTGCCTGCCTGCCTGCCTGCCTGCCTGCCTGCCTGCCTGCCTGCCTGCCTGCCTGCCTGCCTGCCTGCCTGCCTGCCTGCCTGCCTGCCTGCCTGCCTGCCTGCCTGCCTGCCTGCCTGCCTGCCTGCCTGCCTGCCTGCCTGCCTGCCTGCCTGCCTGCCTGCCTGCCTGCCTGCCTGCCTGCCTGCCTGCCTGCCTGCCTGCCTGCCTGCCTGCCTGCCTGCCTGCCTGCCTGCCTGCCTAGTACTGCTCATGTCCCAGATGTCCCCTCCCCACGCTGCCCTGACCCCATGCCATGCCCCCCTGCCTCTCACCTGTCCGCATCCTCTGCTCATTGCTTCCAATCCAACGCTCCCCGTGCCGCTGTGCACGTCCAGCAAGCGCGAGCCGGCTGCCTGCCTGGCAGGTACCTCCCATGCCCCGCATGCCCCCCATGCCCCCCATGCCCCGCATGCCCCCCATGCCCCCCATGCCCCGCATGCCCCCCATGCCTCCCATGCCCCGCATGCTCCGCATGCCCCGCATGCTCCGCATGCCCCCACTCTCCTCACCTGTCCGCACCCTCGGCTCATTGCTTCCAGCCCCACGCTCCCCGTGCCGCTGTATAGGTCCAGCCAGCGCGAGCCAGTCGGCAGGCGGTGTGGCGCGTCTAGCAGCGCGTGCAACATGTCGAACACCGCCGCCCGCACCATCTCCATCATGGGCCGCACGTTGCGGTCGGCGGGGGAGAGAAGCCGCCTCCCCCTGTTGGTGCCTGATACGATCTAGGGGCGGACAGGGGGGAGGAGGGAGGGAAAGGAGGAAAGGAGGGAAGGAGGGGGTGGGGAGGAGCGGGAAGAGAGGGAAGTAAGAGTAGATGATCAAAATTATTGTGTCATGGGGTTTAAGGTTCGGAGGTTGGGTTTAAAGTGACCGCCCGCACCATCTCCACCATGGGGCGCACGTTGCGGTCGGCAGGGGACAGAAGACGCCGCCCCCTGTTGGTGCCTGATACGATCTAGGGGGGGACAGGGGGGAGGAGGGAGAGAAAGGAGGAAAGGAGGGGGGGAAAGGGAGGGGAGGAGGGGGTGGGGAGGAAGGGGGGAGTGAGGAGAGTAGGTATAGGAGAAGAAAGTCTGGTGTCAGTAGCTTTAATGTTTCGGGCTTTGGGTTTAAAGTGGCCGCCTGCACGGCCTCTATCATTGGGCGCATGTTGCGGTCGGGCGGGTGCAGAAGACGCCTCCCCCGGTTGGCCCATCAGACGTTCTGCAGGGGACAGGGGGGAGGGGGGAGAGGGAAGGAATGGCGGGGAAGGGGAGGGGATGAAGGAGGGGGATGGGGAGAGGCGGGTGGAGGAGAAGGAAAGCTGGGGAGGATGCAGAAGGGGCGGGAGAGGAGGAGAGGCAGGACGGGTTAGAGGCGGGAAGACGAGGGAAGCGGAAAGGAAAGCGGAGGGAGAGGCGGGGGGACATCACAAACACACATACACACACAACCACACACCCACACATTCCCACAACCCCACAAAACCCCCTCTCCTTCCCTCCCACTCAACCCCCCCCGCCACTCATCTCCACGCACACCCCCCCACACACCTTGAGCAGCTTGTGTGTGCTGCGCGTCTTCCCAGGCTCCAGCCCTGCAATTGCCACCGCCTCACTCCCCCCACCCCCCGCGCTCACCGCCCTTCCGCCGTCTGCACCCCTGCCCCTTTCCGCCCCCCCGCGCCCTTCCGCGTCCCCCGTCTCTCCGCCCATGAGCGCGGCGGGGTCGACAAGCCACCCCTTCCCCAGGGAGAACACCTCCTCGCTCACCGACGCCCCCCCGCCCCCTCCGCCGCTCCTCCCCGCACGCTGCCCATCCGCGGAACGCGCGGGCTTCGACTTCCGCCTGGTGGACTCTGCCGGGTGGTCGGGGGACCGGGGGAAGCAGAGCAGTAGTGAGAGGGGAGCGGCATGGGCAAGCGGAGTGGTAGCGGGAAGCGGCCTGGTAGGGAGGCAGCGGATTGGTAGGGGCTGATGTGAACTAGCGTGGACTCCGGCTGTTGTGTAACTACACTCACTCGGCCGTCGAAGTGAACCGCCGTGACGACCGCATTGAACGGCTAGCCGTTGACTAGTGCGAGGGAGGGAACAGGGCGCTAGGGATGTACGCGCTAAAGTTTGCCCCTGTATCGAGTGAGAAAAAGTGTGAGACGTGTGAAGTGGTGAAATGCGCTCCAGACTCCATGCCATGACTCTGCGACGTGTTTTAATGACGAAACGTGTTCCACGGTCGCGACTGTTTGCAGGTTTTACTAAACGCCACGTGTTTCAGTGATGGGATATGGCGATTCTTGTGAAAGATTGCAGGTCTGATCGCCCGCTGAACCGACTAAATCGGGCGAGATGCGGCGCACTGCGGACGCTAACCCTGAACCTTCCCGCGAGATGCGGATGCACTGCTGACGCTAAATTGCAAGGGACTTCCAGCAAAAACGCTGACTACAAGGTTTTGTGGTTATCAGGGAGTTGAAGCTTTGAAACATCACTACAATATCAGCTCGAAGTGCCGACACCGTATCGTTTATCGAGCTAATTCTGTCTGGGTATGTTTTACGAGCCGCGTCACATCGTACAGTATACACAACAGCAACGACAAGAAACGACGTGGGTCCAGCCAATCCTTCTGCTTTGTGACAAAATTCTGTACAGCTAATGCCCGTTAGAGCCCCTCCCGGTTGCCTTGTGAAGGGGGTCTGTAAGCTAAACCAGCATTTCGCGTGGGGTTCGTACGTTTCGTTAGGCTTTATGCGTGCTTCAAAGCTGAACATGGTAACCACTCGATTCGTCCGATTCGCAACAGTAATGGTTGGCCCTATTTGTCCCTGATGTGTGTTTCAAGTTACTCGACGAATGTGAGAACAGTGAAACAAGCAGCCTCATCAAATGTTCCTCTTAGTTCAAAACAACCAAAACACCCAATCACAACCAATCAGCCTCTCCCACATGGCCCACAGCTCCAGTCGACACAAACATCGAAGCTCGCACAAATGGGCACAAGGAGTGAACACTTGTGCCCAGCAAGGTGCCTTCGACGCCTAGCATGGTGTGTCTGTCCATACTCCTCGCCTCATAACACGCCGAATCCCCACTCGAGCTGACAGCTCCTGCCACTGGCGTTGCACCTCCTTTTGACAAAGTTTGAAGAAAGAAAGAGGGTTGAACTAGCAAGAATGAGGATACAAATAGCAAAACCCTAGAAGGGTTGTACTCACTATAGAGCACCCCACTACAGGCTAGAACATAAGATAATATTCTGACACACCCCCATAGCCAAAGTGGGGTGTAATCAGCAGAGCAGGCAAAGCAGTACAAGCTCAGGGTGGATCACAATGTCACCACACATTCTGAGCACAAGTTCAAGAAACAATAGTTTAGAGTTCACAATTATGAGCAAAGCTAGTGGTAGTCACAACGGGCAAGTGAGGAGGAGGAGGGAGAGTGAGAGGAGAGGAGATAGAAGACGGCGGCTGAAGCTGCAGACACACGGGCAACAGGAGTGGCGAGCACAGTGGCTACCGGACTAAGCGCCCGGACTACAGGAGCAACAGGCCCCGCGGCTTAAGCAGCGGCAGACGGGCAACGGACCCACAGGCGACTGGCGCAGCGACAAGCTCACTGGGCTACCGGGACAACGCCCCGGACTACAGGTGCTGCGGACAACATGCTGGCAGCCTCCACTCAACCTCCCGCAGACAGTCCCACCCCTCTGATACACACCCGCTGCTACACCCCTAGCTCCACTCCCACGCACCCCCCTTAAACCCTAAACCCCAGTCTCCCACACAACCACCCCCCTCAACGACAGCTGCAGCAGTGGGAGACGAAGGAGGAGGAGGAGCAAAGGGAGGAAGGCACACCGGCCACCCCCATACCCGACACCCCACCGCTCGCCCCTCCCGTCGTCTGTCGAGGCGACCTGAGGGGGCCGCTTGCGGCCCCCGAAGGAGCCGCGACGGGCGACGGGAAAAAGGGGGGGGGGGGGGGTGGAGAAAGGGGCCCACCACGGGCCTGAGAGGGTCGCAGGTAGGGGCACGGGGCCGGGGCCGGGGCCGCAGGTAGGGCGACGGGCCGCAGGTAGGGCGGCGAGGCCGCGACAGAAGGGGCGGCGGGGCCGCGAAGGTGAGGGCGGCAGGTGGGCCGCAAAGGTAGGGCGGCGGGTGGCCGCGAAGGTAAGGCGGCGGGTGGGCCGCGAAGGTAGGGCGGCGGGTGGCCGCGACGGTAGGGCGGCGGGTGGCCGCGAAGGTAGGGCGGCGGGTGGCCGCGAAGGTAGGGCGGCGGGTGGCCGCGACGGTAGGGCGGCGGGTGGCCGCGAAGGTAGGGCAGCGGGGCCGCGACGGGTCCCCGTCGCCCGTCGCGGCGCCTCCAGAAGGCGACGCGACGAACGATGGGGCAGACGCCCGCCGCGCGCCTCGGGGCGCACAGCGGGCAGAGAACCGCCGCGCGCCTCGGGGCGCACGGCGGGCAGAAAACCGCCGCGCGCCTCGGGGCGCACGGCGGGCAGAAAACCGCCGCGCGCCTCGGGGCGCACGGCGGGAAGGAAAAGTAACAGCGGAAGCGAGGTGGTAACCCACCCACATGATCGATCCAAGGGGATCGACCTGCTCTGATAACATGACAAAGTTTGAAGAAAGAAAGAGGGTTGAACTAGCAAGAATGAGGATACAAATAGCAAAACCCTAGAAGGGTTGTACTCGCTATAGAGCACCCCACTACAGGCTAGAACATAAGATAATATTCTGACACCTTTGACGTCATAGCTAACGGCATGATCGCGGAGGAGGGGCTATGTCGATGAGCGTTTATCTCGTCCGCGCCGCGGCGCGAATCACTACCAGAGAACAGGACTGGCGGCAGACACGTCGGCGGCGCGGTCCGCCCTACGGCTCGCATCGCCCGTTCCGCGACATCGTCGTCATCATCCGACGAGGAATCGTCGTTTGCCGGCTGAGCGACGAGCACCACCTGCCGGCCGTCAAAATCAGTTTCAGGTTGCTCGTAAATCACCCACTGAGCCGGTTGCTGAACCGGCATTTGTCGACCTGCTGCTGCGGATGTTAGCGATGACGATATCGATGTCGTACCGCTGCTAAACGACGAGCCATGCCAAACAGCGCGTCAACCACGCCCACGGTACAGTATGCGTGACGCAATGACACGTCTGATTTGTCGGCCCATTTGCGAAATGCAGGAATAACAAAGAAGAAACTTGAACGAGAGAGGCCGAATCTTCGAGTTGCGTGGATGCTTTTAGTAGCTATGAACCAACGACGTTAATGACTACTTTACCGCATCGTCGTGTCTGTCACGACGATGGAAACGGGGCATCGTGAGAGGCGGGGGTGTGTGAGAACGATGCTCTTAAGATTTCGTTGTTCTGATTTTAAACTTAGGATGGCGGGCGTGCTGTGTCACTCGAGGGGCCCGTTCTGTGTGGTTCGTCCTATTCGTGTGGCCGTTGTTAGTTCCATGCACCTGTCTTGAATCTCCGCTTGTGTGGTTTGGTAACCACATGATGGAATGTCTGACGTGGGGTCGGCGAACAACGCCTGGCTGTTAATGAGCTTGTACCCCACAGGTGCAGGCTACACGTAGTAGTGTGAATCCGCCCAAATGTCTGTTACACGCACGATGAACCTCGCTTAGGTGGCGGGACAGTCGGGCGAATGCGTGGACGAAACCACTCACGTTTCGTCCTTTCATTTCGCCTGCCTGACTTGTGGCCTAAAAACAAGGCAAACCAGGGTCAGCCTGCTTTGTTCGGGACTGCACGTGCGCTGGTAACCGCAGCGCGTGCACTGTAGCCAGCCATCCAGGTGCTTGTACTGTGGGAGCAGCAAGCAGGGGTTTCGACCTCGAGTGCAGCGTTTCCATCCGGTGCATGGCAAATTCGCGTGCACTGGTCGGGCATCATGTGTACCGCGCTGATCGTGCCGAGTCGAACCAAACCACCACCGTTCGCGACTGTAACAGCTGCAGCTAGCGAATCAGAACCTTGTGGCGAACGTGGCAAATGCGATGTGGCGAAACCTCGTTGGGTTGTCCCTTAATACTGTACCACAGCGTCAATCGGCTCTACGTCGGACAACTGGAAGGACCCTCCTCACATCGACGGTTCAGATGTCCGAACCTTCCCTGGCAAGCCATGACAAGGCATGCACTAGCAGCACAGCCCAGACGAAGCCATTTTTCTGGTGGAGGAGGGAGCGGAAAGACAAGCAGCAGAACAAGCAGGTGGTTTGCCTGTCCGCCCAGCGCCTACCACGCCGCTGGCAATTATTCCTCCCAACCACCGCGCCCCGTCTGTCTCATCGGCCTTTTTCCCCGCTCCGTCCACCTCTGTCACGCCGCGGCCCCTGCTCCGCCTCTTGTTTAGGTCCCCGTCAAAAAGGTGTTGGAATGGAAATGCGAGTCCGTTGTCTCCTCCGTTGCAGCTTGCACCGCGGTACCGAACGGCTCTTGAATCTCCAACTAACACCACTTAGTAGAAGTAGACGATTGGAACCGTGGATACCTGCTCCTAAATTAACCGTCTCTTTATTATTGAGTTGAAATAAAGCGAGATGTGGTACACCATTCGAGCCGCGTTCGAGAAAGCATGGCTCTCTCAGGATGACGATTTAGTCACTATTTCGTCCGGCCGCGAGCCCGAGTCTTTGAAACCTAAAACAGAGGACGTCCGAAACACTAACAGCAGCAGCCAAACCGGAGCGAGCCAGAAGGAACAGGATGCTCCGGCGAAAACTCTTCAAGCGGAGGAGACGGAAATGACAGAAGTTGAGAAGAATCTGTGCGACGGGAATTCGTGCGACGGGAATCCGTGCGACGGGAATCCGTGCGACGGGAATCTGCGCGACGAGAGTCAGGGATGGCAGTTTCTGGATGCGGGAGACGGTTACCACACGATCAAGAACCGTCAATCGGGCGATTCGATCGGCCACTGGCGCGGCGAAGATGTCACCGCCGTTCCAGATGCTGACGTGTCGAATTTCAACCACCAGTGGAAGCTCTACGACGTCGGGAAAGGCCTCGTCGCCATCAGAAACCGCTGTACAGGAATGGTTCTGGCGCGTTGTCTCGGTACCGTGATGGCGTATAACGGGGATGAGAGGAACCCGAACCACTGGTGGAGATTAAAGGAGGTGTCTCCGTCAGCAGTGTACTACGTGGGACCTTGGGAGTTCATCCGGAATCGCCGGAGCGGCAAGGTGCTGCAGCACTCACATCAGCAGCCGTTGACGGATTCCGTCAAGCCTGGCAGCCCCGTCGCTACTACTTGTACCAATACTGAACAGTCTAACTCAGTCAAAGCAGTAGAGCTGATTCCCGGTGACGTCACCCAGCAGTGGCGGCGGGTTGCCGTGTCAGAGGGCTACACGTGCCTCCAGAATCGCGCCTCCGGCTCCCTGCTCACCACCATGATGACTCCTCACGCGCCTCTGAACTCCTCCCTGCTCACCATTGGCGGTGCTACAAGTGGAACCGAATCATACAGTAACGCAGCTGCATCACGGGCAACAGCAGTGCCAGTGGAAGCACAGGCGAGGGACAACGAGGTGACTCGCGAGGGCAATCAGTGGCTGCTGGCGGAAATCAATGGTTTGGAGATCTTCACGCTGCAGAGCCGCCACGGGGGAGCGTTTCTCGAGAACACGTGCGGGGCAGAGGTGCGAGGAAGCTTGGGGGCAGTGGAGGCGAGCACGTGCTGCCAGTGGGTCGCCATCCGCGCAGATGCCATTGATGACGTGGCCAAGGCAAAAGTGGATGACGTGGCGGGATCCACGCCTGGGCTTCTTACGGTTCCCAAAAGATCCAAGCTGGAGCTTTTCAAAGCGCCGCGCAAACCCAAAGCGGTGCTTCTTGAGGCGCCTAAACAATCCACGCCGGAGCTTGCACATGGTAACTCCGCACCTCTGCCGCCGGTGCTGCCACTCTCGCCGCCAGCCTTGCTGCCAGGCGACTCGACACCTGCCACACCGACGACGCCTACCAAACTCAAACCCTCGTCACCATCACCAGAATCAGGTCCGTCCCAGCCGCCACAGCTGACGGTGAAACTCCTGTCGAATCCGACAGACAGGGTGTTTGAAGGGGAATCTGAAAGGGAGCGGTACTCCACCACAGCCCTGCCCCTGCTCCTCCCCTGGAGCTACCTCCGCAACCGCATCACCGGCATGGCTCTTGCTGCGCATGCGAGCGGCAGCGTGGAGGCGCGGGAGTTTGAAGGCGGCAGCCTGCAGCAGCAGTGGCGCGCTGTGAGTGTGGGCGTGGTGGCAGCAGCACCAGCCGTGTCCTACTTCTTCCTCCAGAACCGCGCCTCTGGGTTCGTTCTGAGCCACTCCTGGTGGGGCAGCCACGTGGCAGCTAGTGATTGCCATGTGGCAGGGGAGTACAGCCAATGGGAGCTGAGAGGCGCGTGTGGAGGGTTCTGGGCGATCAAGAACCGGGGCAGCGGGAAGGTTCTGGACCATTTCTTCGGGATAAGCATTCAGGCTTATAGCGAGGATGAGCTGCAGTACCAGCACCACTGGACCATCACCCCTGCAGGGACCACTGGTGGGAAGGCGCACTGGGAGCAGGAAGAGGAGGAGAGCGATGACAAGTGGTGCAAAGCGGTGCAGGGTGGTGGTGAGGGGTCCGCGAGCCTTGCTCTTGTGGTGGACCGACCGTGGAGCTATGTGTTCAACCGGGACAGTGGGAAGGCGCTGGCTGTGTGCGAGGAGAGCGTAGAGGCTGTGGATTATGAGTGGGGGGCCTTGGAGCAGCAGTGGCGCGCAGTGAAGACGGAAAAGGGTTACCACGCGTTACAGAATCGAGCCTCCGGGCTGGTTCTGGATCATTACAGCGGGCGGCGGATCGGCGCGTATGATAACGATTTTAGCAGCGAGTTTCACAAGTGGCAGCTGAAAGACATAGAGGGAGGCGTGTATGTTGTATTGAAGAACAAGAAAACGGGGATGGTGTTGGATCATTACTATTGGGAGCGGTTGGAAGCGGTGAGCGGGGATGAGAAGAACAAGGCGCAGCACTGGAGGGTGGTGCCTGCCAGGCAGATGGCCCGAGAGGGCATGGGTCCCCAGCCTTCCCCCGAGACTGAAACCGTGGTTGGAGATTTGATTTCTCTCTGGGAGAGAGACAGTGTGCCGAAAGGGGAGCTGAAGGGGTTGTATTTAGTGGAGGGCGGCAAGCCTCGTCACGGCATTCGGGTGGTGAAGTCGGGGTTTCGTCACAGCTGTCAGATCCACCTGCTGCAAGTGAGCATCCAAGGGCTGTCATATGCGAGTGTGGCTGTGCCGGCTGGGGTGGACGTGGGGAGGGGGAGGATCCGGGTAGCACTCAGGAGGAGTGCGGAGGGGGGAGGGGAGGTGGTGGTGGTTGACTCGCTTGACTTGATGAGAATTCCCGAGGTGGAAGGGCCGTTGGTCAACCTTGCGGTTTTTGTGGGGGTAACTGCGGATCAGGTTTGCATGTGAGGGTGGGGTTGGGTGTATTGGAGGGTCTTGATTTGGGGATGAAATGGCTGGTTGTGCTGAGTGAAGTGAAGGTTGGATGAGTAGAGCCAGCCTTCCATCTTTTTTGTTTATTTCGTCTGTTCTATCTTCCCTCAACCTTGACCTCTGTCCCGCTCCCCCCCTTCCCCCCATCCCCCCAACTCCCACCTACCCCCTTCCCCTCCCCAGATCCCCCCCCCTTCTAACGTTGTTCCTCCCTCTCTCTATTTTGTATCCACCCTTTGAATTTCCTCTTCATCTTCAGTTAGCTTTTGCTTGTGCATTCGTAAGACACTTTGTATATAATATAGGGCAGAGGGGCCCTATCCTGACGCATCATCCTCATTATTTTTCAAACAGTACTTAAGCTTGTTTCACCTTAGCATCGCTTATCCCGTACAAGAGCACTTTTAAAAGCTGTTCTCCGTTTACCCCCGAAGGACCACAACAAGGCTGCCATGCGAGTCTCTGTCGTGAGCACACAACCCAGCGCAGCCCATTCGTAACTACCTAAAACACATTCGAATCGAACTCAACTAATTATAGCCGAATTGAAGCCTTCACCCCCCAGCGTCGTTGCAGGTCACGATTCACGAAAGCTCTCGCTCGAACGGCAGCCCAACCTTGGCTTGGGAATACCTTGACCGCCTGCTACCAAGCAGACAACAACAATCCTTGTCTTTTTCTGTTTTCTTTTACCCGCCATGGCCAATTGCGTCCACCTTTTCGCAATCGCTTTTCCGTGCGGCCGCTCTTACAGCACGACGTAGTGCCTGGCATTGGCATCCCTAATACCGCCGTTGGTGCATTGGGTCCTTCATCAATCGATCGAGATTGTAGAGGACGGTTAAATAGTCGTTTCGTTAAGAGGTTGTATCGGACGGCGACGTGGTAGCTTGCGCGATCACGCGTGCTTTGTTCAACGGTCGCGTCGCGCTCAATTGACTTTGGCTTCTCTTTCGCTCGCAATGCAAGCTGCTTGGTACTAAATCGTTACCAGACGAATATAATCCGGCTCTTCGCTAAGAGTGCAGTCTCTTCTCTAGCTAGCTACTCTTTTACGTTGTTATTATATTAGTACGTTTATAATTCATTACTGTACTATCAACTGCCTCTCGCGCCGTTCATGGAAGCAAAGAGAGGCTGCAGCAAGCTCGTCGCCAGATAGCCACAGGCAGTCAGCTCCCTCTCCGCTCGCCGCGACAGTCGCTGCGGCAGTCGCTGCGGCAGTCGTGCGCGGGCGTGTCACGGCACGGATGGAAGGTGACTCGATGCCCGCGCCGCCCACGCCGAGGCCGGGGGGCTCGCCGCGAATCCTCGTGGCCGTCGACGAATCGGACGGCGCCGAGGCCGTGAGTGCCGCACGTGCCGGCGCCGCCTCTCTGCCTTTACCCTCTTTCCACCCTCCCGCCGTCTCCCTCGCCCTCCTTCCCCTCTTCCTTCCCCCCCTCCATTTTCTCACGTCCCCCATCTCCGCCTTCCCCTCCTCATCAGACACCCGATCTGTCGTCAACCCCCCCCCCTCTCTCTCCCACGCGACCTGCGCCTCGCGTTCCTCACAATGCCTCTTTGCCACCTTCACCCATCCCCTCCACCTCTCTCCACCCCTCCTCACCCTTTCCCACCTTTCCCCACCCCTCCCTTTCCTCCCCCACGTGCGTACTTGGGCTGCCCCGGCAGGCCTTCCGCTACGCGCTCACGCTGCTGAGGCGCAGCGACAACATATACGTGCTGCACGTGCTGGACCCGCGCACATGTGAGCTGCCCCACCCACCCATGCCATGCCACATCATACCATGCCACATCATACCATACCATAGCTCACTGAGCCCTGCTGAGGCGCAGCGACAACATCTACGTGTTGCACGTGCTCGGCCAGCGCACATGTGAGTTGTCCCCTCTACCCCACCCGTGCCATGCTGTTTCATGCCATACCTACCGTGCCATACCATGCCATGTGTAAATCACCCCTCCTCCGACGCAGCGACAACATCTACGTGTTGCACGTGCTGGACCCGCGCACATGTATGTTGTTCCCTCCGCCCACAAATGCCATGCAATACCATGCCATGCCATGCCATACCATGCCATGCCATACCATACCATACCATACCATACCATACCATACCATACCATACCATGCCATGCCATGCCATTCCATGCCATGCCATGCCATGCCATGCCATACCATGCCATGTGTCAATCCTCCCTCCTGAGGCGCAGCGACAACATCGACATGCTACACATGCTTGGCCCGCGCACATGTGACATGTGCGTTAGTCCGTGTCAGGCAATGCTGTGCTGTGCTGTGCTTTGCCGTGCCGTGCCGTGCCATCTCATGCCATGTCATGTGTCTGTAAACCTGCTGCCACCCCTCTCCCATCCGTTCTTCTGCTTGTCACGCCACCTGTGGGCAGCAGTAGCACCACCCCCCACCCTCTTTCCTTCACAACGCCTCTCTGGTCGCTCCACCCCATCCGATTCCATCCAACCCCATCCCACCACTTGGCCCTGGCAGTATCAGCGTGGCGGGCGGAGGCCCAGCAGGCGGGGGCAGGCAGCAGCAGCAGCAGCAGCGGCGGCAGCGGCGGCGGTGAGGTGCAGGCAGCCATAGACGCACGGGTAGATGCGTTGCTACACCGCTACCGCAAGCTGGCTCACGGCAAGGGGGTGAGTGTCGCTGCAGGGGTGAGTTGCATGGCATGGCTTTGGGGGGTTGAGTGTCATACTAGCACGTGCGCGTAACGTACGACAGGGCCGATTGCCCTCTGGCATTGAGAGAACGGTGCAGGCATGCATCGATTGATGCGCGCGTGGATGCGCTGCCACACCGGTACCTCACGCTGCTGCATGTTAAGGGGGTGAGTGTCACTGCAGGGTGAGTGTCACTGCGGGGTGAGTGTCACTGCGGGGTGAGTGTCACTGCGGGGTGAGTGTCACTGCGGGGTGAGTGTCACTGCGGGGTGAGTGTCACTGCGGGGTGAGTGTCACTGCGGGGTGAGTGTCACTGCGGGGTGAGTGTCTTACTGGTGGGTACGGTGAGTGTGGTGGTGCAGTGTACGTTGCAGAGCTACCAACACTGGCTTAGCCTTGGGATGAGCGTGCGTCATCATGCACCCCTTGTTCCGTCACTTCCGGCGATCTGCCACGGGATGTCACCTGTCTACAAACCGACAAACCACACACAATCCACATGTATCATTACATACCCCTTGTTCCGCCATACCAGGTGATCTGTCACGGGGTGTTGCCCAAGGGTACCCATTGATGGCCTACAAACCAAACAAACAAACCCCACACGATCAACATGTGTCAAAACGTACCCCTCACCTGCCACCCCTCACCTGCCACCCCTCACCTGCCACCCCTCACCTGCCACCCCTCACCTGCCACCCCTCACCTGCCACCCCTCACCTGCCACCCCTCACCTGCCACCCCTCACCTGCCACCCCTCACCTGCCACCCCTCACCTGCCACCCCTCACCTGCCACCCCTCACCTGCCACCCCTCACCTGCCACCCCTCACCTGCCACCCCTCACCTGCCACCCCTCACCTGCCACCCCTCACCTGCCACCCCTCACCTGCCACCCCTCACCTGCCACCCCTCACCTGCCACCCCTCACCTGCCACCCCTCACCTGCCACCCCTCACCTGCCACCCCTCACCTGCCACCCCTCACCTGCCACCCCTCACCTGCCACCCCTCACCTGCCACCCCTCACCTGCCACCCCTCACCTGCCACCCCTCACCTGCCACCCCTCACCTGCCACCCCTCACCTGCCACCCCTCACCTGCCACCCCTCACCTGCCACCCCTCACCTGCCACCCCTCACCTGCCACCCCTCACCTGCCACCCCTCACCTGCCACCCCTCACCTGCCACCCCTCACCTGCCACCCCTCACCTGCCACCCCTCACCTGCCACCCCTCACCTGCCACCCTCACCTGCCACCCCTCACCTGCCACCCCTCACCTGCCACCCCTCACCTGCCACCCCTCACCTGCCACCCCTCACCTGCCACCCCTCACCTGCCACCCCTCACCTGCCACCCCTCACCTGCCACCCCTCACCTGCCACCCCTCACCTGCCACCCCTCACCTGCCACCCCTCACCTGCCACCCCTCACCTGCCACCCCTCACCTGCCACCCCTCACCTGCCACCACCTGCCACCCCTCACCTGCCACCCCTCACCTGCCACCCCTCACCTGCCACCCCTCACCTGCCACCCCTCACCTGCCACCCCTCACCTGCCACCCCTCACCTGCCACCCCTCACCTGCCACCCCTCACCTGCCACCCCTCACCTGCCACCCCTCACCTGCCACCCCTCACCTGCCACCCCTCACCTGCCACCCCTCACCTGCCACCCCTCACCTGCCACCCCTCACCTGCCACCCCTCACCTGCCACCCCTCACCTGCCACCCCTCACCTGCCACCCCTCACCTGCCACCCCTCACCTGCCACCCCTCACCTGCCACCCCTCACCTGCCACCCCTCACCTGCCACCCCTCACCTGCCACCCCTCACCTGCCACCCCTCACCTGCCACCCCTCACCTGCCACCCCTCACCTGCCACCCCTCACCTGCCACCCCTCACCTGCCACCCCTCACCTGCCACCCCTCACCTGCCACCCCTCACCTGCCACCCCTCACCTGCCACCCCTCTCACCTGCCACCCTCACCTGCCACCCCTCATCTGCCACCCCTCATGTGCACCCCTCATGTGCCACCTCTTATGTGCCACCCCTCATGTGCCACCCCTCATCCGCCACACCAGGTGATCTGCCACGGGGTGTCGCGCAAGGCGAGTGACCGGCGGCAGGAGATATGCGAGGCGGTGGTGCGGCAGGACATAGAGCTGCTCGTCGTGGGCACGAGACAGCTCAGTGCCGTCGCTAGGTGAGCATTGGTGACGCCAAGAGGTGCTGCTGGTGTGAGTGTGCAGAGAGATGGTGTGACAGGACATAGAGCTGCTGGTCGTGGGCACGAGACACCTCAGCGCCGTTGCGCGGTGAGTGGCCGCTAGAAGTGCCTACAGGTGTGACTGTATCGAGCTGCTGCTGCTGCTGGTGTGACTGTATGGACTGGTGGTGAGGCAGGACATAGAGCTCGTCATGGGCACGAGACACCTCAGCGCTGTTGCTAGGTGAGTGAATGAGGGGCAGGTGAGTGAATGAGGGGCAGGTGAGTGAATGAGGGGCAGGTGAGTGAGGCCAAAGGAAGGTGTGACTATATTGAAATGCTGCTGCTGTGACTCTGTAGTGCTATGGTCTGGCAGGCAGGACATAGAGCTGATAATGTGACTCTATAGAGCTGCTGCTTGATGTGGCTGCTGCTGCTGGTCCTGGTGGTGCTCCTGCTGGTTTTGAGTCAACTCAAAAGCTGCTCCTGCTGGTTTTGAGTCGACTCAAAAGCTGTTTCTGCTGGTGAGTGCTGATGGTGGTGTGATTTGGGTGGTGGCAATGCTCCAAGATGACCAGAACGTGGTTCGTTTCTGGCACTCAGATTCGACACTCTAAAGAAGGTCCTGCTGAAGAAAAGGGTGGTGTGAGCGAGCGATACCTGCTGCACAATTGGCGTCTCTCTTTCTTTTTCGTCTTTCTCTCTCCTGCTCCCATCCCTACGCTCAACCTCCCTCCCCACCTCCCCTTCCCCCAACCCACCCCCGTGCCCACTCCTCAGGGCCGTGAAAGCCAGTGTGAGCGATTTTCTGCTGCGCCACTGGCGTCTCTCTTTCCTTCTCTTTCAACCTGTGCTATTCTCCACTTCCCTCCCCCAACCCACCCCCGTGCCCACTCCTCAGGACCGTGAAAGCCAGTGTGAGCGACCACCTGCTATACGGACTTCTTTCGTTCATTTCTTTCCACCTTTCTCTCTCCTCCACTCCGATCCCCCACCCCACTCCTACCTATCCGCAGGGCCGTGAAGGGCAGTGTGAGCGACTACCTGCTGCACAACTGCACGTGCCCCGTGCTCGTAGTGCCCTGGGAGCACATGCTCAAGTTCAAAAGCCTCTCCTCCTTCAAAGCCCGATAGCCTCTCAGCCTGTATTGCTCACTAGCCTCCCCACCTTCCTGCTTAAGAGCACGCGGCATGCTCTCGTGCTGGTAGTGCCCTGGGAGCACATGCTCAAATTCAAAAGCCTCCCCTCCTTCAACGCCCACTAGGTCTCCTTCCATCCCGCCAGCCCCTCTTCTTTCAAAACCGTCTATCCGGCTCAAGAGCCTACCTGGGAGCATGCTGCACATGCCCTTCAGATCAAGGATCAAGCGCCTCTCATGCTCGTGGTGCCATGGCAGCACATGGCAGCACATGCTCAAGCTCACCCGCCCTTCCTCCCTTCAATGCCCGCTAGTCCCCCCCTCTCTTTTCCGTCAAGTCGCGCTACGCTAGCCTCTCTTCATTCAAAGCCTCCAGGCCTCTCCTTTTTCCTGATGTACTCCTTACACGCTCACCCCTTATGCTGCACTGGCCTATCGTCCATGCAACACATACCTTCCCCTACAGCACCCAGCAGATGATCGCTGCATGCCTGTCGCCTTGCATGTGATCTGCTATATCCGGGGGCTATGACTTCATGTGGCTTGACTCTGTTACCCTAGCTAGGTTAGGTAGGCGTTTTTAGCACGATGGCGTTTGTCATAAATGGCAGCCAGGGTTTGTGATTTCGGGTTAGGGATTCAGGGTTTAAGGTTTACCATGATTATTTATATATGATTAGTACAGCTGAGACACTGCAGTGCTTCCTCTCTCTGGTACTTGCCAGCCGTCTCTATTTCATGAATTTCCTGGGTGCCTGGGTGACTGATTATACGTGTACACGTTGTAGCACATGTCCAATATACTCACTACGCGACTGTCAGTAACGGGATTGGCTGCGCCGAGAATCCTCCACCATATTTTTTTGTCCTGAAACGTTTCACTGACGGGAACAGTAACGGGGTTGGCTACTCAAAACCCCAACTCTTGTCTCACTCCGTCGCACCTTGCTGAAGCCCACAGAAATCCATCTTTAACTTTCAGAACCGATTTCTATCCCAGTCTGGCTTCGTCAACCTTCCAACCCAGTTTCTAACTAGTTTCCACACATAGCATGGGACGCTGAATATATCTCAGCGCGTTCAGGTCGTCGCCCGGGGGAGCTCGCTGCCCGCAGGCAAAAACAATAAACCCCAGTCGGGCATGCATCCGGTCAGGGAGGCATCAACCCTAAATCCATACCTCCCTGTGATTTAGGGCGTGTTACAGTTTTTTTTGTCTGGACGGCTGGCCGTCTGGACGATTGTGTGGTAACGAGACTCGTTAAATCTCAGCAACTTCAAAAAATGTAACATGCCCTCAGGGTTAATGCCTCCCTCGGATGGCATGCCATCCATGCCTCCCTCGCACTGCACAGCACGAGACGGATCGCACGCACCCTTATAATCGGCTCAACCGACCTCCCCCTCTCTCCCCGTCCCTCACCAATTCTGTCACGCGCCCCATTCGCGGCCCTTTCTCTCCCGCTGCTCCTCAACTGCGCCTCGCCCGTTCCCAGTCGCTCGTCGATCTCCCATCCGTCGCCGTCGCGAGTTACCGGCCGTCAGTTCTGCCGGCTTCAAAACGACGTTAGCTCTTCCAGTGCCGCTACCAGCACCCCTTCCGACGTCGTTAGCGCCTCAATTGACGACGTCTGTCGGCAGCCGGCAGAGATGACGGCCGTCGGCGATGACGCGAATGCGAAGCCTGCCGACCGTCAGTTTAGACGGAAGTACGCGCTGACTGACGTGCTGCGGACGTCTGCCGGCCTCGAATACTCCGTTCACAGTTGAGTGAGTCTTTTGTCGCGACGCGAATTGAATCCGCTGGTCTAAAATCGCCGTCTCACGACGCTTCTAGTACGGTCACTTCACGATTCCGCAGACATTGAATGCACTACGGCCCGTGACGCCAGCACGTGCTCTCCACGTGCCGTTTCACCTCTCGTCTGTGCTCAACAGTGCGTTCCTGCTGCTGCTTACGTCCGCATGCGACCATCCATGCGACCATCCCTGCGGCCATCCCTGCGAAAATCCTCCTCCCCTGCATCCCATAACCCTCACAGACCCATGCCTACCATTACCTTCCCACCCACTTGCTCCTTGCCTCCCTTCTCCTTTATTCCCTTCCTCCATCACTAAATCTCACCACCCTGCCACTGCTCACATCCGCATGTCACGATCCATGCGTCCATCCTCGTCCCCTGCATCCCACCAGCCCTTCTCCTCCTGACGCCTTCCCTTTACTCCTCACCATTCCTCCCTGCCTCCATCGGCCCTCTCTCTGCCGTTTTTATCTTCAAGAATATGAGACGTCTCAAATCTAGACGTCTCAAATCTAGACGTCTCAAATCTAGACGTCTCAATTCTAGACGTCTCAAATCTAGACGTCTCAAATCTAGACGTCTCAATTCTAGACGTCTCAAATCTAGACGTCTCAAATCTAGACGTCTCAAATCTAGACGTCTCAAATCTAGACGTCTCAAATCTAGACGTCTCAAATCTAGACGTCTCAAATCTAGACGTCTCAATTCTAGACGTCTCAATTCTAGACGTCTCAAATCTAGACGTCTCAAATCTAGACGTCCCAAATCTAGACGTCCCAAATTTAGGCGTCTCAAAACGTTTCCTCCAAATCATCTGCTCCCTGTCGACCCTCTCTCTGCCGCTTTTATCTGTTATCTAAAGAGACGTCTCGATTCTAGGCGTCTCAAATCTAGATGTCTCAAATCGAGACGTCCCAAAACGCTTCCTTCTCACCACCTCCTCCCTCTCGGCCCTCTTCTTCTGCTGTTTGTTCTCTTCAGGCTGCCCGCGGCAGTACAAGCAGGACATGGAGTCCCTGTTTCCCGGGCAGGACGTGTCGAAACTTTTGATTCTGCCCACGCAGCAGAGGGCGCGGGTGGATCTGGTGAACACAGGCGAGGAGGTTGAGAGGGAGAAGGACCGCTTATTGGAGACGGTAATAATGAGTATGGAATGTGCTGGTGCGGGTGTGGGTGCAGGTGTGGGTGCTGGTGTGGGTGCAGGTGTGGGTGCAGGTGTGGGTGCAGGTGTGGGTGCAGGTGTGGGTGTGGTTGTGGGTGTGGGTGTGTGAGTGCAAGTGGGGTTGGGGATGGAAGAGAGAGGGCGCGCGTGGATCTGGTGAACACGGGCGAGGAGGTTGAGAGGGAGACGGTAATAATAACGAGCATGCAGTGTTTTGTAGCCCTGTGCAATGTTGGAGAACGAATGATAAAAATTCTTCAAATTCAGACTAATTCACAGTCACATGTGCTGTTTTTTTCTCTTTCTTTCCCTTGGCAAAAGTTGACTTTCCAGTGTGTACCAATCCCGTTGCCCTTACAATCTTGCCTGCTCACACCCGCAATTCCAGCAATCCATATGTGCTTCTTCACCCCTTGATTCTCCGCTCCTGCTTCCCTGCCTTTTTGTTGAACCTTCAAATCCAATCGTTGAACCTCCACAAATCCTGGCCCTTCAAACCTTTTTGCATTTTCCGTGCCATTGTCTCCTCGCCCAGAACACTCGCGTGCCCGCCCCTCTGCCCGCCCCTTCACCCCCTCGTGCTCGCCTCTCTGCAGTTTGCAGCGTTTGCGTCGGGCCTCGTGGAGAGTCTCTCTCAGCAGGGCCACTTCGCTGACTACATTGACCCCTGCTCTGGCCTCCCTGTATGTGCACTGTCAGCTTCCCCTGTATGTGCCCCGTTAACTGCATTGACTACATTGACCCCTGCTCTGGCCTCCCTGTATGTGCCCCGTTGACTGCATTGACTACATTGACCCCTGCTCTGGCCTCCCTGTATGTGCATCTTCAACTGTGTGCGATGGCATGCGTTGACCCTGCAATGCAGCTAATGCGTCCCCTCTTCAACTCAGTGGCTGCATTGCATGCGTTGACCCTGCTCCAACCCCCCTGTGTGTGCACCCACAGCATTCCCTGTGTCCCCTCGTGACTGCATTGACTGCATCGGCACCTTCTCTGGCCTCCCTGCATGGTTCTGTTTGCTGCATTGACCATGCGAACAGCGAAGGCCCGTCCCAACCGCATGAATATGCATTCCTTTCCCCCCAAACGTATGGTGAACCGCAGCAGCCAGACGTACTACTGAGAGGTGGGAGGCGGCACAGTAATGCATGCCCCCATGTTCACCCCTTTTTCGTCCCCCCCTCTCCGCCCCAACCCCACACTCGCCCAACGAGATGGTAAAACGCAGCAGCCAGGCATTCTATGAAGAGGTGCAGCGGCACAGACGTGGCCCCATATTCCCTCCCCCCTTTTTTCCACACCCCACCCCAACACCACCCACTCGCCCCATCACATGGTGAATCGCAACAGCCAGACATGTGGCGGCGGCACAGACGCTGCTGGGGTACCCGGTGCCAATGCAGGCTGCTGGGGTACCCGGTGCCAATGCAGGCTGCTGGGGTACCCGGTGCCAATGCAGGCTGCTGGGGTACCCGGTGCCAATGCAGGCTGCTGGGGTACCCGGTGCCAATGCAGGCTGCTGGGGTACCCGGTGCCAATGCAGGCTGCTGGGGTACCCGGTGCCAATGCAGGCTGCTGGGGTACCCGGTGCCAATGCAGGCTGCTGGGGTACCCGGTGCCAATGCAGGCTGCTGGGGTACCCGGTGCCAATGCAGGCTGCTGGGGTACCCGGTGCCAATGCAGGCTGCTGGGGTACCCGGTGCCAATGCAGGCTGCTGGGGTACCCGGTGCCAATGCAGGCTGCTGGGGTACCCGGTGCCAATGCAGGCTGCTGGGGTACCCGGTGCCAATGCAGGCTGCTGGGGTACCCGGTGCCAATGCAGGCTGCTGGGGTACCCGGTGCCAATGCAGGCTGCTGGGGTACCCGGTGCCAATGCAGGCTGCTGGGGTACCCGGTGCCAATGCAGGCTGCTGGGGTACCCGGTGCCAATGCAGGCTGCTGGGGTACCCGGTGCCAATGCAGGCTGCTGGGGTACCCGGTGCCAATGCAGGCTGCTGGGGTACCCGGTGCCAATGCAGGCTGCTGGGGTACCCGGTGCCAATGCAGGCTGCTGGGGTACCCGGTGCCAATGCAGGCTGCTGGGGTACCCGGTGCCAATGCAGGCTGCTGGGGTACCCGGTGCCAATGCAGGCTGCTGGGGTACCCGGTGCCAATGCAGGCTGCTGGGGTACCCGGTGCCAATGCAGGCTGCTGGGGTACCCGGTGCCAATGCAGGCTGCTGGGGTACCCGGTGCCAATGCAGGCTGCTGGGGTACCCGGTGCCAATGCAGGCTGCTGGGGTACCCGGTGCCAATGCAGGCTGCTGGGGTACCCGGTGCCAATGCAGGCTGCTGGGGTACCCGGTGCCAATGCAGGCTGCTGGGGTACCCGGTGCCAATGCAGGCTGCTGGGGTACCCGGTGCCAATGCAGGCTGCTGGGGTACCCGGTGCCAATGCAGGCTGCTGGGGTACCCGGTGCCAATGCAGGCTGCTGGGGTACCCGGTGCCAATGCAGGCTGCTGGGGTACCCGGTGCCAATGCAGGCTGCTGGGGTACCCGGTGCCAATGCAGGCTGCTGGGGTACCCGGTGCCAATGCAGGCTGCTGGGGTACCCGGTGCCAATGCAGGCTGCTGGGGTACCCGGTGCCAATGCAGGCTGCTGGGGTACCCGGTGCCAATGCAGGCTGCTGGGGTACCCGGTGCCAATGCAGGCTGCTGGGGTACCCGGTGCCAATGCAGGCTGCTGGGGTACCCGGTGCCAATGCAGGCTGCTGGGGTACCCGGTGCCAATGCAGGCTGCTGGGGTACCCGGTGCCAATGCAGGCTGCTGGGGTACCCGGTGCCAATGCAGGCTGCTGGGGTACCCGGTGCCAATGCAGGCTGCTGGGGTACCCGGTGCCAATGCAGGCTGCTGGGGTACCCGGTGCCAATGCAGGCTGCTGGGGTACCCGGTGCCAATGCAGGCTGCTGGGGTACCCGGTGCCAATGCAGGCTGCTGGGGTACCCGGTGCCAATGCAGGCTGCTGGGGTACCCGGTGCCAATGCAGGCTGCTGGGGTACCCGGTGCCAATGCAGGCTGCTGGGGTACCCGGTGCCAATGCAGGCTGCTGGGGTACCCGGTGCCAATGCAGGCTGCTGGGGTACCCGGTGCCAATGCAGGCTGCTGGGGTACCCGGTGCCAATGCAGGCTGCTGGGGTACCCGGTGCCAATGCAGGCTGCTGGGGTACCCGGTGCCAATGCAGGCTGCTGGGGTACCCGGTGCCAATGCAGGCTGCTGGGGTACCCGGTGCCAATGCAGGCTGCTGGGGTACCCGGTGCCAATGCAGGCTGCTGGGGTACCCGGTGCCAATGCAGGCTGCTGGGGTACCCGGTGCCAATGCAGGCTGCTGGGGTACCCGGTGCCAATGCAGGCTGCTGGGGTACCCGGTGCCAATGCAGGCTGCTGGGGTACCCGGTGCCAATGCAGGCTGCTGGGGTACCCGGTGCCAATGCAGGCTGCTGGGGTACCCGGTGCCAATGCAGGCTGCTGGGGTACCCGGTGCCAATGCAGGCTGCTGGGGTACCCGGTGCCAATGCAGGCTGCTGGGGTACCCGGTGCCAATGCAGGCTGCTGGGGTACCCGGTGCCAATGCAGGCTGCTGGGGTACCCGGTGCCAATGCAGGCTGCTGGGGTACCCGGTGCCAATGCAGGCTGCTGGGGTACCCGGTGCCAATGCAGGCTGCTGGGGTACCCGGTGCCAATGCAGGCTGCTGGGGTACCCGGTGCCAATGCAGGCTGCTGGGGTACCCGGTGCCAATGCAGGCTGCTGGGGTACCCGGTGCCAATGCAGGCTGCTGGGGTACCCGGTGCCAATGCAGGCTGCTGGGGTACCCGGTGCCAATGCAGGCTGCTGGGGTACCCGGTGCCAATGCAGGCTGCTGGGGTACCCGGTGCCAATGCAGGCTGCTGGGGTACCCGGTGCCAATGCAGGCTGCTGGGGTACCCGGTGCCAATGCAGGCTGCTGGGGTACCCGGTGCCAATGCAGGCTGCTGGGGTACCCGGTGCCAATGCAGGCTGCTGGGGTACCCGGTGCCAATGCAGGCTGCTGGGGTACCCGGTGCCAATGCAGGCTGCTGGGGTACCCGGTGCCAATGCAGGCTGCTGGGGTACCCGGTGCCAATGCAGGCTGCTGGGGTACCCGGTGCCAATGCAGGCTGCTGGGGTACCCGGTGCCAATGCAGGCTGCTGGGGTACCCGGTGCCAATGCAGGCTGCTGGGGTACCCGGTGCCAATGCAGGCTGCTGGGGTACCCGGTGCCAATGCAGGCTGCTGGGGTACCCGGTGCCAATGCAGGCTGCTGGGGTACCCGGTGCCAATGCAGGCTGCTGGGGTACCCGGTGCCAATGCAGGCTGCTGGGGTACCCGGTGCCAATGCAGGCTGCTGGGGTACCCGGTGCCAATGCAGGCTGCTGGGGTACCCGGTGCCAATGCAGGCTGCTGGGGTACCCGGTGCCAATGCAGGCTGCTGGGGTACCCGGTGCCAATGCAGGCTGCTGGGGTACCCGGTGCCAATGCAGGCTGCTGGGGTACCCGGTGCCAATGCAGGCTGCTGGGGTACCCGGTGCCAATGCAGGCTGCTGGGGTACCCGGTGCCAATGCAGGCTGCTGGGGTACCCGGTGCCAATGCAGGCTGCTGGGGTACCCGGTGCCAATGCAGGCTGCTGGGGTACCCGGTGCCAATGCAGGCTGCTGGGGTACCCGGTGCCAATGCAGGCTGCTGGGGTACCCGGTGCCAATGCAGGCTGCTGGGGTACCCGGTGCCAATGCAGGCTGCTGGGGTACCCGGTGCCAATGCAGGCTGCTGGGGTACCCGGTGCCAATGCAGGCTGCTGGGGTACCCGGTGCCAATGCAGGCTGCTGGGGTACCCGGTGCCAATGCAGGCTGCTGGGGTACCCGGTGCCAATGCAGGCTGCTGGGGTACCCGGTGCCAATGCAGGCTGCTGGGGTACCCGGTGCCAATGCAGGCTGCTGGGGTACCCGGTGCCAATGCAGGCTGCTGGGGTACCCGGTGCCAATGCAGGCTGCTGGGGTACCCGGTGCCAATGCAATGCAGGCTGCTGGGGTACCCGGTGCCAATGCAGGCTGCTGGGGTACCCGGTGCCAATGCAGGCTGCTGGGGTACCCGGTGCCAATGCAGGCTGCTGGGGTACCCGGTGCCAATGCAGGCTGCTGCAAGGTGCTGCTGTCCCACCTCTCACCCCCCCCCCCACTCTCATTCCTCCATCCCTTCACCCCTCCCGCCCCCCCCTCCCTCCCCCTCACCAGATGGTGAATCGCAACAGCCAGACATATTACGGCGAGGTGGAGGCAGCACAGACGCTGCTGGGATACCCGGTGGCCAACGCGGGCTGCTGCAAGGTGCTGCTGCACCCCCAGTGGGGCTCTGCTGTCTACCCCGCCACCTTCTTCACGTCCGCCCCGCTTGATGTACTGCTGGAGGCCTTGAAACATGTCAGCTAGGGCCAACGCGGGTTGGTGCAAGGTGCTGCCGCACCCCGCCACCTTCTTCACTTCCGCTCCCCTAGAAGTTCTGTTAGAGGCGTTGAAACATCACAACTGACCAATGGTTAGGGCCAACGCGGGCTGCTGCACCCGGCACAGGGCTCTGCTCTGCTGTCTACCCTGCAAGTCACCTGCTTCACATCTGCTCCTCTTGATGTGCTGCTAGAGGCCTTGAGTTGAACCATCTCAACTGACTGTAAACGTGCGCAATGCCTGCGAGCGATGAATCACCATGTGCGGCTTTTGAGTCGACTCAAACGCTGCTGCATGCTGCTGCACCCTGCATGGCAGCATGGGGCTCCGCTCCGCTGTCCACCCCTGTGCCACCTTCTACCCGCGTGGGGCTGAGCCTGTGCTGTGCTGTCTACCAAGCACTTCATGCCTCAAGACCTCAACTGACAGTGATGGTGGGAGTGAGTTAGGCAACATTGCCTTGAAGTTGCTGCAAGATGCTGAATGCTGCTCGGCATGGCGCTTTGCTGTGCACCCCAGCACAGCAGCACACTCCTTCACATCTGCTCCCCTCCATGTGCTCCTACAGGCCTTGCAGTTGCAGCACGCATATGGATGGATGAGCCTTCTGGTGTATGCATGCTAGAGAGGAGGCATGTTACGTGCAAGTTGCAGCTCCGAAGTGGCACTGTAGTGTAGTCTGTATGCCATTCCTGGATTTCTGTTACCAACTGAAATGATTTAATTTATGCAATGGGAGCATTGATTTGACACCATCTAGATACCGTACCTCATCAGTACAACAAGCTTTGATAGTATGTACGCTTGCTCAAAACCTGCTGCAGGGCTTCTGAGCCAGGAATAGACCAGGAAGGAGGCTGGTGTTACATCGTCCCAATAGCTTGTTTGGCAATAATGTATCATAGTTATGGTACATACAAGTTCAAAGCCTGATGTTGCATGTGGCAACATAATGGTGCATTCTAAGGTGGTCTGACTGACGTCCCTGGCCTGGAGCTAACGGACCACTTGACTACAGCACCAGACATGCGGACCTGTATATTCTAGTCTAATATCTGTGCTAAAAAACGATAATAAATCTATCTCTGAGATCACCTAAACCCACTATGGTACTAAATAAACCCAGGACCGACACTTGCCTGAATGAACCAGTAGCAGATTAACTCTACAGACGCACCTAAATCCAACAGCACAAGCTGTGTTGTGTGCGTCCACAGCACTGACATACCGTGTTACTACTCTACAACCTACACAGTACCCCGCCATCTGGTGTCTGTACGAATGCATGCACAAATGCAATGCTTCTACGTTGATGGGCACGCCATCGACACACATACCGTACCGACATCAACACCTGGGGGACACATACACATCCCCACATCCCCACATCCACACACACACACACCCATTCACCCTGGCCAGTATACAAGCTGCGGAGCTGAGATGGAGACAGCACTTATCCACCCACGTGCGAACAAAGGTAAGATACTTGCAGAATTTATTCACCCCGTGCCTACACCCATCTCCTTCAGTGTCAACGTCAGCGCCAACAATGCCCCTTCGGTCTCCTCGCCCCTGACCCCCGCGCCTCTCCCCTGACCCCCCCGCCTCTCCTCTGACCCCCCCGCCTCTCTCCTCTCTCTCTCACACACCCGCTCTCCCGTGCGACGGCCGGACGGCTTTCCCGGTCGCCTTGATCGCGAGTTCAGAAAAGACAGAAAACGCCATCCACGCGTCGAGAACCGCCAGCTGGATCTGATTCCACCCGAGCCCCTGGCGCCACCACTCCGCCGGTCCCACTCGCCTTGGCTTCATCACCGGCGTTCCCACCAGCTGGTAATTCATTTCGTCCAAATCCGCTTGTCGCCACCGCTTGTTGTGGTAGATCTTCGCCGCGAGCTGTCCCAGCTCCACGATCCCGTTACATGGTAACCCGTAGTCGGTTTCGAGCAGCTTCGCCGCGGCCTCGATCCCGCACCCACCGATCGGCACGTCGGGGTTCTCGAGAAGCTCCGCGACTTCTTCAGGCATTCGATCGATGTAGAGCATTTGGAGAATCAGGCAGTGGGAGCTGTTGCTGAGCTGGACTAGCGCCACGCTGCCTTCCCGGCCTCGCGATCTGATTGGTTGACATTTGATGTCCATGCCGAGCATGATCCGGTGCTGGTGGCCTGACGTCACGTCCCACCCGGCGAAGGATTGGACCCATTCGTTTGCCACGTCAGCCTCGTCTGTTAGGGTGACTGAGATTGGTGGTTGATGCGGATGCGGCTTCACGGAAAGCTTTTGCTTCATTGCTGACCGCTGGATTGGAATGCCTAGTTGCAAGCCGTCGGATTGGAACCCGCGATCGAAACTATTCTAGAATGGGTAACGCTACGTAAATCCTTGCAAAGAAAGAAAACCTGTTCGGCCAGAGTGAGGCAAAAGGAGCAGAATTCGACTGGTTCTGTCCTCGTTTACGACGATAACCGAAAGCCTCTCAGAGAACCTGTCGTTGCTAACTGGTGGTCCTTCGAAACGTGTAAGGTCTTGTAGCTGCGTCTCCTGATAACCCGAACCTTGATCAGCTGAAGCAGATTCGAAGGGAACAGTGTAAATGAAAAATCCCTGGAACGCAAGTCGGATGGAGGATGGGTGCTGTGTGACAGGCAATGGCGGATGCAGGTGGGCTTGCGGGATGGTGGTGTGCCGCTGTGCCTGGTGTTCTAGACGCGAATGATGTGGTGATGTGTGGTATAATGTGGTTCGCTGTGTTGTGGTGTGGTGTGGATGTGTGGCAGGGAGGATGTGTCTGATGGTGACAGAACGGAGTGACGAGGACCTGGATGGGCGGAATCTTGAGGCAACACGGAAGATGGGATTGGGGGGAGGAACTTCTGTGGGATGCGACATGACGTGACTCCTTATAGCCCGGGGTCAGCACGGTAAATTTTCAAGTTATGTGAGGTTGGAATAGTGCAAAAGTAGGGTGTGCGAAACCTATTTCGGTTGTGTGCCTTAGGGCGCTTAACCATTTTGCACCCGACGGAACGAACCGTGGACCGTCCGTCGTGGCGAAGGGTTATCATTTTCGTTTAATGTCGTTCAGTTCTTCGCGAGGACGTTTGCGACGTCGCTAAAAAATCGAACTGTCATGACACTTTTTCCGCTTTCCAACGACACGAAACTCCAACATCGGACTGTCCGAATCACAAACGAACTGTCCGCCTGTCCGCGCACGCGATTGGCGGGCGAAATTGAATTTCAGAGGACCGCCTCGCCAAAACATGAAAAATGCGACTCGGATGCAAAGATTGACATTGACCTATCACAACTAGCCATACTACAATACAAGAAGCCACGACATTGATCCACTACTCATCACTACTCACTTCTCTGCACAATGTGCTCAGACCTTGTACGACGCTGTAGTTGCGCGCTACTCTTCCCCTGCCACTGCTGCACTGAGCCGCCTCATGCTACCGTACCTCTTTCCTGACCTTGCTGCCTTTCCCACAGTCGCTGACCTCATTACGCACCTCCGCACTAGTGACACTCACTACCGCGCCGCGCTTCCTGCTGAATTCTGCGCTAAGAACCCCCCCCCCCCCCATGTACATCACTCTCTATTACATAGTCACACGCCTCCCTGACTCCCTTCGCGTAGTCAGGGACCACTTCCTCTCAGTCTGTCCCACCACTCTCACTGTTGACCTCCTCGAGAAGGCCCTCCTGGCGGCGGAGAAGAGCATCGTCGCTGTAGGAGCCTCTCGTGGTGACCCTCGCACCCCCATCTTTGAGGGGTGTTCTCCTTCCCCCCTGCTGCCCTCTGTTGCCTCTGCTGCTGCTGCCGACCTGCTTGGTCTTGAGTCGGTCGGCGCGGCGTCTGCCCCTAGCGGGAGACGCCGCCCTGGCAAGGGCAAGGGGGGCAAGGGCGCGGGTGGAGCTGGCGGGGGCGGTGGAGGTGGCGGTGGAGGCGGCGGAGGGAGTGGGGGTGGCGGTGGGAGTGGTGGCGGGGGCGGTGGTGGTGGTGGCGGCAGCGGAGGCGGAGGCGGTGGCGGCGGCAGCGGTGGGAGCGGAGGCGGCGGTGGTGGCGGAGGTGGAGGCGGCGGTGGCGGAGGGGGTGGAGATGGTCGGGGTGGTGCCTCGCAGCGGAGCGGCTCTGATGGTGGTCAGCGCCAGCAGCAGCAGCAGCAGCAGCGTTCGCGGGACATCCCCCCGCGCCAGCAGCTCCGTGAGTGGTACACGCAGCGTCAGCGGGGTGGGGGTTTTGGTCCGTGCACCTACGTCCTTCGTTCCGGCGACCGCGTGGGTGAGCAGTGTGGGGGTAACCACCCCACCCAGCGCTGCTTTGGCCGCCTGACGAACGCTTGGCGTCAGCACTTCCCCGAGGCTAGTTAGATCCCCCGCTGGGGAGAGCTGTCTAGGGCAGGTGTAGCTATCTATGATCTTGACTTTGATGCTATCCTTGCTGCCATGTATGCTGTGACTATTAGTGATGAGGGTGACTATTACTGGTGTTTCCCGCCCGACCCGGGCATTGGTACTGCTGCGCTAGGTGCTAGTGAGGCTGCTGCTCTAGGTGCCAGCGCGTCTACGCCCTCAGGTACTGGTGAGGCTGCGCTCTCAGGTACCGCGTCGGCTTCGGCCTCCCTCACCTTCACACTTGACTCAGGGGCTTCTTGCTCCTTCTTTCGAGACCGCACCACACTCACGCCGCTTGGTCGGCCGGTTGCAGTCTCCCTGGCTGACCCCTCTGGGGGTCATGTCCTCTCTCACTTCTCCACTGTCCTCCCGTGTCCGGCTGCCCCCTCGGGCACCCTGTGTGGTCTGTACCTCCCCTCGTTCTCGACGAACTTGGTGAGTGGTGCTGACCTGCAGGATGCGGGGGTTCACCAGTTTACTCCTGCGAGTCAGCGGGTGACCCACTGCTCGGACGCCCGCACAGGCCGACACCTAGCCACGTTTTCGCGTCGGCCGGGGTCGAGCCTCTACACCCTGACCACTAAGTCTCCTCCTGTCCCTGCGTCTGGCCAGGTAGCTGCGTCGGGTCAGGTGTTTGCTGCTACGTCCAGGTCTGGTCCTGAGTCTGCCCCCTGCTCGTGTCGCCTCCTTTCTCACGAGACTCTCCTCTGGCACCACCGTCTTTGCCACCCCTCCTTGCCTCGTCTTCGGGGCATGGCTTCCCGTGTCCTTGTCTCTGGTCTCCCCCGGTCTCTCCCTCTCCTTACTTTGGGGCCAGGACCTTCGTGTGTCCCCTGTGTCGAGGGGCGGCTCCAGGCTGCCCCTCACTCCTCCCAGTTTCCCCCGACAGAGGCTCCTCTACAGACGCTTCACATGGATGTGTGGGGCCCGGCCCGCGTCCGTGGATAGGGTCACGAGCGCTACTTCCTGCTGGTTGTTGACGACTAGTCGCGTTACACCACAGTCTTCCCCCTGCGCAGCAAGGGTGATGTCATTGAGGTGTTGATCGACTGGATCCGCGCAGCTCGTCTCCAGCTCAGGAGGAGCTTTGGCTCGGACTTTCCTGTTCTGCGCCTGCACTCTGACCGAGGTGGAGAGTTCTCCTCTGGCCTTCTGCGTGCCTTCTGTCGTGCACGAGGCATCCGCCAAACCTTTACGCTTCCGGACTCTCCACAGCAAAATGGGATTGTTGAGCGCCGCATTGGCATGGTCATGGACGTCGCTCGTACGTCCATGATGCATGCGGCTGCCCCCCATTTTCTGTGGCCGTTTGCGGTTCGGTACGCGGCGCATCAGATCAACCTTCACCCCAGGGTCTCCTGGCCAGAGACCTCCCCAGCTCTGCTGTGGACAGGGAAGGTCGGCGATGCGTCTGCGTTCCGTGTCTGGGGATCTCGGGCGTTTGTTCGCGACTTGTCTGCGGACAAGCTGTCCCCTCGTGCTGCTCCCTGTGCCTTCCTAGGCTTCCCCCCTGACGCTCCAGGGTGGCAGTTCTACCACCCCTCCTCTCGTCGTGTTCTGTCCTCCCAGGACGTCACGTTCAACGAGTCAGTCCCCTTCTACCGCCTCTTCCCCTACCGCACTCCTTCCCTCCCCCCGCCACCGCACTTCCTTGTGCCAGGTCCCCCCCCGGTAGATCCCCTTACCCCTTAGGGTCCTGCCCCTTCAGGTGTGTCCCAGGTAGACGCAGTCGAGCCGGTCGAGGTTGCTCGTGACTCTGGTACTGCTGTGGGTGCTGAGCCTACGGGTGCTGACTCTGGGGGTGCTACGTGCGTGGGTGGTGAGCCTGGGGGTGCTGAGCCTGGGGGTGCTGAGCCTGGGGGTGCTAAGCCTGGGGGTGCTGCGACTGGGGGTGCTGCGACTGGGGGTGCTGAGCCTGGGGGTGCTACGTCAGGAGCTCCTGAGCCAGGGGGTGCTGCGACTGGGGGTGCTGAGCCAGGGGGTGCTGCGTTTGGAGCTGATGAGCGTGGAGTTGCGGAGCCTTCAGCCGCTGGACCTCCCCTTGTGGCGTCTGGCGGTGCGGGGTCTGGAGGTTCTCCGGGTGCTTCGTCTCGGCGAGAGCCCCTCTCTCCACAGGAGCTTCGCGAGTGGTTTGCTCGCCGCTGGAGGCGTACTGCTGGAGCTGGAGCTTCTTCGGCTGCTGAGGGTACTTGTGCCACTGGTCCCGGAGCTGCTGGGCCTTCGGGTCCGCCTAGAGCTGGAGCCGCTGAGGGTGTTGGTTCTGCGACTACTCCCGTCCGTCCTGGCGGTGGTCCTGCTACGGGTGCTGCTGGTGCTATTGGAGGTCCTACCGCTGGAGGTGCTGTTGGCGTTGGTGCTGCCGGAGGTGCTGAGGGTGCTGGTGCTGTTCCTGCTGTGTCTGGAGTTGCCACGCGGCCTCGGCCGTACTTCGTTCCACTCCTGCAACAGGTTCTTGGTCTTTCTCCTCCTGTCGAGTGTCCACCGCCTGTCCAGTCACAATCACAGTTAGAGCCCGCCTCCCCGCTTCCTGCTCCCTCTCCTTACACTGGTCCTACTGGAGGTCTTGGTGAACGTCGTGAGCCTGCGTCTCGTCCCGCGTCGCCTGTTCATACTGCTCGCGCTAGTGGTCGCGGTTCGCGTCAGCGTCCTCCTCCTGTTCCTGGCACGCACCGGATGTCTCTGCGTCCGTCCACTGCTCCTCTGCGTGCCCCTTTGCCTTCTCCCCCTGAGTCCTCTCTTCCTGCGCTTGCCGACCCGGAGTCGGACTCTCTTCGTGCTGCCAGTCCTACTGTCACGCGTCTCATTGCTACTGTCGTCACTGACCCCTCTTTTGAGTCCACTGCTGCGTTTGCGCTTGTTGCTGAGCTCGTCGACTTTGCTGCTCGCTG